GTACCTTAGGCCCACGGGGGTGCCTCTCTTTTATAGTTTACTAAATCTTTGTCTCACTAGAAGCCTGACTTCTATAGACTCCAATTCAATACTTACTTTGGACTCTTCAAGAGATAAGGATAAACTCCCAAAGAGCTTTATCCATATCTTGATTAAATCTCCTCTTCATTCTAGGACTCTTGTCCCTTATCCGTGTATCTCGGATTCTGACATATTCGGAGATAACCTCAGCAACGCCGAAATAACCTCGGCATAATGACCAGGACACGTGGCATCTTGGATGACACATCGGCGTCACCTTGCCACATGTGGGTACTCAGAAAATATATCCCCACAAGAAGTATGACTGCTGTACATAGGTTTGCTCTACTGTTAACTGCTAGGCTGCTGGCCTGTTTGGTTGCTGGTTCAGGTTCTAGTTTGTTGATTGGGCTGCCTTACAGATATGCTTGGACTGCTCAGCAATAGAATAATACAAGGCCCTCAGCTTTATTTTTCTTCAAATTCAAAAACTATCCTGGCTGCTGTACATTAGGTTCTATTTTGTTAGGCTCTTGCACATTAGGTTTGATCTGCTGTCAATTGGTAAGTTACTGGCCCTTGTGGGGTTGTTGGTTCAGGTTCTATTTTGTTGATTGAGCTGCCATATAGATATGCTTGGACTGCCATATAGATATGTAGATATGCCTGGGCTGCCAAACAGGTTCTATGGGCAGTTCTATGGGCTGTTCTGGACTGTTTTGTTCTGGTTTGCTTTTGTCTGTGGCTGCTGCTGCTATGGGGTGTTCTGTTATGGTCTGCTTTTTTTGGAATCTCAATGGTTTGGAGCTAGATTTATTGTTGTTCTATTTGATTGGTTTTTGTTCGTTTTCAATTGGCTTCTTGCCAATCTTAGGTTAAGTGCTTGTATATGATTGTGCTTCCTTTATGGTGCCAACCTAGTTGGGATTGTGAAGGTTAACTATGATGCTTGTGCACTTCCCTGATTTGTTGATGTATCTTTGCATGTAATTTGCTTTTTTCATCAATAAATCTTTTCTTTTGCTTGAAAAAAAAAATAAAAATTCACTAACTATTTTATTTTCTTCTTTTTCTTTTTTTTTCTTTTATTCAGGGGTTAAAGATCGCTACACAGCTCCGGCTTTGACTCCAACCACTTTCTACTTTTATTTTCTCTGCCAAATTTTGCACTGCTGTTACATGTCATTGGTGCAAAAAAAATGGTGAATGGTGGGCATAATCCATCTCGTTTTGCTGCACAATTTAGGATTCCTTCCACAGGTGCAGTCTTTGTTCCTTATGATTTGGTAGAGTACATAGACAGTGAGTGACACCTATGCACGTTCTAGTGACACTCCTGCTCTTAATGTATTTTTATAAAATGTGTGATTTATAATTTTATACGCCTACTGTTACTTCGTTTTTCCATCAAATTTAATATAATTTGAGTTCTTGCCTCTTGGATGTTTAAATTTTAATTCTAGATGTGGTTCCTCCTACCTTTACTTTTAATAGAATATGAACATAGAAATTTAACCTCTAGACTAACGTCTTACTATGTGGCTAGCCTCATCACCATGATGACTTTAAAACATAACTAACACCAATTTACTTCGTAACTACATCACTTTGAATATAACCAATACTAACCAATACCACATTTATTATAACACGGCCACTTTAAATCATAGCTAGAACCATATTTGTCATAACCATGACTATCAAATTTGTATGGTCCCAATCGTATCCCATAATCTACAAGAGAAGATGTGAAAAGTCTTTGGGCACCACTGTGATGAGTTGATCATTGATATATATATATATATATATATAACCCAGACAAAAACCCTCTATAAAAAATTATTGTATTTGTGTGAGTAATTTTCTGACACACTGCTCGCTTAGTAATCAGCTGGAAAGCACCGGCAGAATAGATGGCTTTGACCAACCTGAAACAGAAAAAAAAGTCTCCGGCGGTGGTTCTTCCACCCGGGGGTACTCCGACGATCAAGTCAATATATCTCTCAAAGATAATCAAGTGCTAAACTCAATGCTCAAAAGATAAATTGCGTACCTTAGACCCACGGGGGTGCCTCTCTTTTATAGTTTTCTCCATTGTAGTCCTACTAGAAACTGGACTTCTATGGACTCCAATTTAGTGCTTACTTTGGATTCCTCAACAGATAAGGATATACTCCCTAAGAGCTTTATCCTTATCTTGGCTAAGTCTCCTTTTTACTCTAGGACTCTTGTTCCTTTCAGTTTATCTCGGATTCCGACATATTCGGAGATAACCTCGGCCACTCCGAGATTACCTCGGCATAACAACCAGGACACGTGGCACCTCGGCTGACACGTCGGCGCCACCTTGGCCACGTGTTGGTACTCAGAAAATATATCCCCACAGCTTTATAGCTTATTTATCTTAGCATTATAGCTTAATTATCTTAACTTCGCTTCATAGCTTAAGTTTTATAGCTTAGTTATCTTAGATTATCAATTGTACTTCATTCTCAATCAATGCAAATTCATTTTAGGCCGACATGCCTTCATCAGAGAACAAGAACTCAAACGAACTCCCCCACGCGCATGAGCTGTCATGCATCTCTTCTCAACCGTTCCCCTTACGTGTTCTATCTTCATTGGCCCGTGTCTATGGCGCGCTTGTAAGCCGTCTTTCATCCGTCTGCGCCGTCTGACGCATACGTTCTTTCAGGCGCAATAAATGCCCTGTTTTGCCGCCGTTTCAAGTTTTTGATAAAACTTTTCTTTCCATCTTCATTTCTTTACTTTTGCATTCAATTTTCAAACTCTCTCTCTAAACTTTCTCAAATCTGCCATTGCTCTAGCTTCAAGTTCTGCAACCGTCTTCATTCTTCCATTCCAGCGAAGCTTTCGCCGTTCCGTCGTATCTGCAATCGTTGCCTTACTTCAGCGACTTTCATTCCGGCTTCATCTGTTCTGGTAAGCCTCTGTTCCTCTTATTCCCAATTTCTTCTATGTGCTTTCGTTTACTTGCTGCCATTATTGCTTTGTTCAAACCTTTTGCTTTGCTGAACTATTCATCTGGATGCGTCTTTTCCATGGTTTCACTCATATCTTAAACACTTGCACTGTTTCAACACTTTTCCTGCCACGGATCTTGACCTTCTACTTTTGTACTTCTTTTGCTTTTGAGAACCATACCTCTGTTCATTGTTTCTGAAACGACATTCTGGTTTCTTATTTCCTGTGTTGTTTTCCAGATTTCTGTCTTCAATTTTTTCTTTCAATCTTTACCTTCATAAATTTAGGTTTGGGATTTGTCTATAGACCTATCAATTCTTAGGAAAAAACTAAAACAATCCTTACCAGCATATACCTAGGGTTTCACCGAGGTCCCGATAACCCCCTAAGAGCATCTTCTTTATGAAACCCAGCCCTCTGATTTTAGGCCGACGTTTTGGGTATGTGGAGACATAGGGTAAATACCCCAACCAAACTCGAATACTTTAAGGAAGAGTTCTCCATTCCAGCCGATGTTCAGCTTAGGCTAGCTGGGGATGACGATTCCATCATGCCTACAGACAATACGATGCTCTTTCCTATTGTAGCCTTTACTGAATGTGGACTCCGGCTTCCACTTAATCCCCTTTTTCGCGAAGTTCTCCACTACTATAAATTGAACCCCATGCAACTTACCATCAACTCCTATCGAGTGATTAACGGTATCATAGCCCTAGCTAGGTAGGAGAACATTAGGATCACCCTCGCTGATATCCAATATTGTTATACCATGTGCGCCATGAACTTAAAAGAAAAAGGATTCGTTTATTACCTCAAGCCGAGGTCAACTGAATTCAAAATTGTAGCCGACCTTCCAGACTCCAACAAGGGGGCTGGAGATGATTATGTCATCGCTTCGGGAAATTGGGAATTTGGCGCAGACGAGGACGTTCATCTCTACCCTCTTCCTCGATCAATTAAAGAGGGCAAAAGTAAGAGCCCAGTGTCAATTACTTAGTTGTTTCTGTTCAAGTCTTCAATATTTTACCTGTTTCTAATGTCTGTTTCTTCTTGCAGACGTTTGCAAGCCAGCGAAAGACTTACGCCAATCTTACGTCCCTAGCAAGGACCTGAAAAAGCTCCTAGACTTGCCTGTCCATAAAAGAAAAGCACCTCTTCTTCTAAACTTTATTCCCACATACAAATCCACTCTACCCGACGTCTCGAAGAAGAAGAAGAAGAAGAGTCTATCTCCTTCCTCTGCTACCACTCCACAAACCGCATCAACATCTCGGGTTGACCAAGGGTCAACCTCTGATCCAACCGATCAACCACTAACTTCAACCCCATACTTAATCCCAATACCAGAAAGAAAACGTCGGCGACGACTTGTCAAAACCGCTGAGATGGGTCGCCCGAAGCCTGTTGCCCAAGATCTCTTAGCCGACCTTCCTGCCGACGTTGATGCTGTTCCGACTCAATCCATGCCCCCACCAAAGCCAAAAAGAATCAAAAAGGCTCAGCCCAAGGCCAAAGCCACTGAGGTTGAGGCTGAGGATGCTCTGTCCATTTCCAAACTGGCTGAGAGTAAGAAGACTTCTTCTACTTCTGCCAAGAGGTCTGCTGAGGCCCAGCCATCAGAGTCCACTCAATCCAAGAGGCCGAGGTCATCGTCTGCGACGACCTCGGGTTCCAGAATACCAAAAGTCCCCTGGACACCTGAGATCACCCTGGAGGATAAGCCTCTTCTAGCCTCTGACAGTGCCGATGACATCAACGTCGGCGTGGCACTCAGTACTGCTCTACTCCTCCCAGGCGATCTTGAGCGGAATGCCAAGATGAGTGAGTATGAGAACTACGCCTTAATGCTCCAGCACTCCGTTCAAGTAAGTGTTCCTGCTTTTTGACTTTCTTTTTGTTTCATACTAAAAATATTTTCTAATACTTTTGTTTTCTTTCAGGCCATCCAGCATGCCCATTCGTTTTCAGTGCAATCTTTTAATAACCGGGAAAGGATGACCGAGATGAAGAAGGAGTTTTCTGCCCTGCAGAAGACCAACAAAGGTCTTCAACTAAAAATGAAGAATCTGGAAGACCAAGCCGAGGCTGCAACTAAGGCCCAACAGATAGCCGAGGAAAAAGCTGAATCAGTCGAGGCCATAAGGAAGGTCGCCGAAGCAGAGAAGATAGAGGTCGAGGACAGAAAGGCCCAAGCCGAAAAGGAACTGCAGGAGGCCCTGGCCACCAAGGATGCTGAAACCAAAGAAGCTGATGAGAAGGCTTACGCCCAGGGCATGGCCAACGTCACTGAGGAATACAAACTTCAGGTCAGGCAGGTATGCAACAGGGGCTTCTCCCTTGGTTGGATGTCCCTGATAAAGAAACTTGATCTTCCTGCCGATTCACCCTTTCGTAATGCCGATGCTATCCCTCTGCCGTTCCCCCCACCTCCTCCATCAAGTCAACCTGAAGGCGAATCTGAGTCTGAAGGTGAGGAGGAAGATGAGGACGAGGTTTTGGTAAGGAAATCCAGGGAGGCTGTTGGAGCTAAGTCTCCTTCTCTGAATGAGCAAGTCTTGGACCTGACTCAAGATGATGATGGTGATGCAGTTACCAAGGAAGCTACCTCGGAGCAGGGTTCGTCCGACGTTCCTCAGGTCAACAAGAGTATTGACGAAACCTTTGCCGAGATTGATGCCGAAATTGCTGCAGATAAGGAGGCCAAGGTATCTCTTCAGGAGACTTCTGAGGTTCAGATCCAGCCAGACGCTGATGCTCAAAAGTCTTAACTTTTATGTCTTTTCTTTTGCACCCTTGTACTTTGTTTTGTTTTCTGGACAATGTAAGCTTCCTTTCATGGCCGATGTTCCTTTTTGTGTTTCTTTGAAACAATCTACTTCTGGTAGGCCGTAGTGCCTTCTTTTGTACACAACTGCAACTGTTTTTCTATGGATGCTTCAATCTTTTAATTTCTCTTGATTTGCTTCTGCATGGTTCTATACTTAGAATATTTTGCATGTCTTTCATATCTTGCCACCTTTGTGCAATCTTCTCGGGGTTACATATCTCGGGTGTAATAACTACAACCTTTACTTCGGCAAGATACTGACCTGCAAACGTTTCATAAATTTCAACAAGTGTAAAACATATACTATTCAATGTCAACTTTGCGAACGTTTCTCAATGTTTCAATCAAGTGTTTAGACAGTGATCTTAATATAACCTATTTGTAAATTGCTACAAATTTCAACAAGTGTTTAAACATATACTTAGCTTTTTACTCAACCTGTAAATCGCTGCAAATTTTAACAGATGATTATATGTCGGCCTAACGTCATCTTGTAAATTGCTACAAATTTCAACAAGTGTTAAGCATCTTCTTTCGGTTTAAGCAACCTGTATATTGCTATAAGGGTTTAAGCAATAACCTCGGCTTTACTTCAACTTGTAAATTGCTACAAATTTCAACAAGTGAAGATAAGGAATCAGCTTAACTCCAACTTGTAAATTGCTACAAATTTCAACAAGTGAATTAAGGAATAATCTCGGCCTAACTTCAGCTTGTAAATTGCTACAAATTTCAACAAGTGAATTAAGTGTCTTTGTCTTCTCTCTGCCCCCAATGTGAACTTGAGTTGTACTTGGGTTCTCATTATTCATATTTCCAAAAACACCAATATGTAACTTTATCAATCATATGTGTTTAAAGAAAAGGGAGAAGATTTTATTGATGACATCGGCCAAAAACAACACTCATCTAATGATAGAAGAATTTCAAATTACAAGTGTTCCAAGGTCTTGGCAGTGCTTTGTCTTCGTTTTCTTCAAGCCGATAAGCCCCATTGCCTAATACTGACGTAATTCTGTAGGGTCCTTCCCAGTTTGGGCCAAGCTTGCCCTCTCTGGGATCCTTCTTGTTGCCGACGACCTTTCTCAGGACTAGGTCGCCGACTTGAAAATCTCTCGGATTGACCTTCTTGTTGTAAGCTCTGGCAAGCTGTTGCTGGTATACTGCGAGTTAAATTGCAGCTTTCTCTCTTCGTTCTTCCAAAAGATCCAGATCTCGGGCTAGAAGTATATCATTGGTACCATTCTCTACTCCCTAGGTTCTGATCCCTGGGATGCCGATCTCTAATGGGATGACTGCTTCTGTGCCATAAGCCATGGCAAAGGGGGATTCCCTTGTTGATCTTCTCGGCGTAGTCCGATATGCCCAAAGCACGTTGGGCAATTCGTCTACCCACTTTCCTTTTGCTGCCTGCAGCCTCTTTTTTGTCCCATCCAAAATTACTTTGTTGGATGCTTCTGTTTGCCCATTACTTTGGGGAAAACTTGGTGTTGAAAAGTAATTCTTGATCTTCAATTTCGCACAAAAGTTCTTGATGAGTTTGCTGTCAAACTGTGTTCCGTTGTCGGCAACTATTGCTCTTGGAATCCCAAATCTGGTGATGATGTTTCTCCATATAAAGTTCTTGACGTCTACGTCTCGGATTTTGGCAAGAGATTCTGCCTCTATCCACTTTGTGAAGTAGTCTGTCGCTACCAGCAAGTATTTTCTCTGCCCAGTTGCCTGGAGAAGTTGCCCAACAAGATCCATGCCCCATTGGGCAAACGGCCAAGGGCTGGATACTGGGTTCAGGTCAGCAGCTGGCTGATGTATCAAAGGTGCAAACCTTTGGCATTGTTCACATTTCTTCACATAGGCTTCGGCATCTTTTTGCATGTAGGGCCACCAATACCCCTGGGTAATGGCCCTGTGGGCTAATGATCTGCCCCCAGCATGGCTACCACAAATTCCTTCATGAATCTCATATAGGAAATCTTCAACCTGCAAAGGGTGTACGCACCTTAAAAGGGATCTAGTGAAGGACCTTCTGTAGAGGTGTCCATCTGCTGTCAGACTGAATCTTGCCGATTTCAATATGATTTTGTGTGCCTCCTTACGATCTTCTGGCAGCTTTCCTTCTTTCAAGAATGCAACAATTGCATCCATCCAGCTTGGCCCCGTGTCCACACACATTGCTTCTTGTTCTATGGTCAGCTGTTCTATGCTCGGGCCCGACATATAATCGATCATAATTGTCCTTGTTTTTCCAGTCCTATTGAACTTGCCAGGTTAGCCAACGCGTCGGCGTGGGTGTTGTCATCTCGGCTGACTTGGAGTAGTCAGCAATTCTAAAATAGGGCTGCCAATCTGATGACCTCTTTTGCATATACCGACATCCTTTCGTCTCTGGCTGCAAATTCTCCTGTTGATTGGTTAACAATAAGCTGTGAGTCACAAAAAACTATTACCTCATCTGCCTCTGCTGCTGCTGCCAGTTTTAGCCCTGCAATTAATGCTTTGTATTTCGCTTCATTGTTTGAGGCCTTGAATCCCAAACGGATGGACTGTTCTATTATTTCTCCATCTGGAGATATCAGCAGTACTCCTGCCCCCGCTCCTTGTCGGTTCGAACTTCCATCGACAAATAGTCTGAATGAGTCGCCGATGTAGATGCTGCAGGGTCTGAGTTTTTCCTTCCTTTGTTCTTTTGCCTTAGGCTGGGATTCCCCTTATTTGCTTGAACATCGTTCATTTTGGCTCAACGGAGCCTGATGTTCGATGGACTCCGGCGTGAATTCGGCCACGAAGTCGGCCCAAACTTGGCCCTTAATTGCTGTTCCCGGCTTGAACTCCAGGTCATACTGGCCTAAGGCCACTGCCCACCTTGCTATTCTTCCAGTCAAATCTCCTTGTTGTAACAATGACTTCAGTGGGTGCTCTGTTAGCACTATAATCTTGTGTGCTTGAAAGTAATGGTTCAGCTTCTTTGAAGCTATTACTAAGGCCAACATTAGTTTCTCTAGTGGTAAGTACCTTGTTTCTGCATCGGCCAGGGTTTTGCTTACATAATAGGCAGCCTTTTGCTCCCCTTTTTCCTCTCAGATTAGCACTGCACTGACTGCGTGATCTGACACAGCTAAGTACAAAACAGTTCTTTCCCAGGCTCAGGTGTTGATAGGAGTGGAGCCGTGGTCAGGTATTTCTTCAAGTCGGTCAAAGCGGCCTCGCATTCTTCTGTCCACAGGAAGTTTGTGGCTTTTTTCACCAGGTTGAAGAAGGGTCTGCACTTATCTGAGCTTTTGCTGATGAACCTGTTTAGGGCTGCGGCCCTGCTAGTAAGTATCTGAACCTGTTTTGCCGACGTCGGACTCTTCAGCTCCAGGATGGCCTTAATTTGGTCTGGGCTGGCCTCAATGCCCTTTCTCGTTACCAGGTACCCCAAAAACTTACCTGATCCAACTCCAAATACGCACTTCGATGCGTTGAGTCGGAGCCGGTATGTTTTGAGTATATCAAAGACTTCTTTTAGGTCGGCAAGATGACCCTGAGATTCCTTGGTCTTTACGACCATGTCATCGATGTAGACCTCTACCGTTTTGCCAATCAGATGTTTGAACATCTTGGTTACCAGCCTTTGGTAAGTCGCTCCAGCGTTTTTCAACCCAAAAGGCAGTACCTTGTAATAGTACAACCCTTTAGGGGTGATAAACGCTGTCTTCTCTTCGTCTGGAGGGTACATGGCAATCTGGTGGTACCCTCTGTAGGCATCTAAAAAACTCATTCTTCCGTGCCCTGAAGTAGCATCTACTAGCTGGTCTATCTTGGGCAGGGGGAAGCTGTCTTTGGGACAGGTTTTGTTGAGGCTGGTGAAGTCTACATAGACCCTCCATTTTTCGTTCTTCTTCTTCACCACTACTGTGTTGGACAGCCATGTCGGGTAGTGAACTTCTCGGATGGCCCTGGCCTCCAGAAGTCTGTCTACTTCTTCCTCCACTGCGTCAACGTGTGTCAACGTTGGTCTTCTGGCTCGTTAAATCACAGGTTTTGCCGACCTGTCGACATTCAGTCTGTGGCAGGTGACCTCGGGGTCACTGCCAGGCATTTTGTAAGGTGTCCAGGCGAATACCTCTATATTTGCTCTCAAAAAATCTTCCAGTTCTCTTTCCTCTTCTTCGGCTAAGCCTGAGTCGAGAAGAAAGTAGCGCTCTTTGTCGCCCTCCTGGACGAAGATTTTCTTTAGCGTCTCTTCGCTCTTCTTGGCTGGTTCCTTGCCGACGTCTTCCAGGACTTCTATGTCCTCATCTTCAATTTCTGCGTTCTTTGGCTCCCGTACGCTACAGGTAGACTTCATTGTTGCCATGGAGCAATTTTTTGCCTGCAGTTGATCTCTTCTGACTTCTTCAATCCCATGCTCTGTTGGGAACCGCAGTAGTTGATGCAATGTTGAGGGAACTGCCCCCATTGCATGCAACCACGGCCTTCCCAAGATGATGTTGTATGGCGAGGGCGTGTCAATTACCAAAAATTCTGTCTTGATCTTCTTAGTGCCGGCATGTACTTCTAAGTTTGCTGCGCCCAGTGGCCATGTCGACGTTCCATTGAAGCCGACCATTAGGCCGTTGGATTGGTCCAAGTCATCAGGGTGAAGGCCCAGCTCCTGTAACATCTGACATACATGATGTCGCAGGAGCTTCCTTGATCTATCAGGATGTGTTTTACTTGGCACTCCCCAACCTGGAGGGATACTACCAAGGCATCGTTATGTGGATGTTGGACCATCTCTAGGTCGGCTCCAGTAAAGGCTATCATTAGTCCCTAACATTCTTCTGGCCGAGGTCTTTTTTGTCCGACCTGGTTCACGTGCTGTAGGTGCTATACTTTCTGAGTCTCCCCTCGTATGTCGCTTTCGTTCACCTTTGAGTGGATTACATTAACCACCCGTGGTCCTCCTGCCTTTGGTTG